GGGTTATGATGTTTCTCTTTTTGTCCTACCCCCATCCCCAAGTGACCTGGGTTGGGGTTAGGGAAAGATGTTTTCTTTTTTTTTTTCCTGACCCAAATCCCCAAAAGGTGCCCGGGGTTTTGGGGGGTTGGGGTTTAAGGATTTTTTCTCTGTTGTCCTATCCCATCCCCCAAGGGTTTGACCGGGGTTAGGGTTAGGGTTAGTGTTTCCTTTTTTTTCCTGATCCCCCTCCAGGTTACCTGGGTTGGGGTTAGGGTTTTTATGTTTTTTTTTCTCTTTTTGTCCTGACCCCATCTCCAAGGTGACCTGGGTTAGGGTTAGGATGTTTCTTTTTTTTGCCCCTGATCCCATTTTCCAAGGTGCCCGGGGTTGGGTTTAGGGTTAGGATTTTCTTGTTGCCCCTGCCCCCCTTTTCCAAAGGTGACCGGGGTTTTAGGGTTGGGGAATGTTTTCTTTTTTCCCCTTATCCCCCCCTCCAAGGTGACCGGGGGTTGGGGGGTTTAGGGTTTGATGTTTTTTTGTTTTTTCCTACCCCAAATCCCCAAAGGGTGACCTGGGTTAGGGTTGGGTTATGATGTTTCTCTGTTGTCCTGATCCCATCTCCAAGGTGACCTGGGTTAGGGTTAGGGTTATGATGTTTCTCTGTTGTCCTGATCCCATCTCCAAGGTGCCCCGGGGTTTTGGGTTGGGGATGTTTTCTCTGTTGTCCTGTTTCCCACTCCAAGGTTCCGGGGGTTAGGGTTAGGGTTATGAATTTTTTTTCTTTTTTTCCTGATCCCTCCCCAAGGTGACCTGGGTTAGGGTTAGGGTTTTTGGGGTTTTCTCTTTTTTGTCCTGATCCCATCCCCCAAGGTGCCCGGGGTTGGGTTTAAAGGGGTTATAAAATGTTTCTTTTTGTTGTCCTGTCCCATCCCCAAAGGTTTCCGGGGTTTAGGTTGGATGTTTTTCTGTTGCCCTGACCCCAATCCCCAAAGGTGCCGGGGTTTAGGGTTGGGTTTTTGGATGTTTTCTCTTTTTCCTGATCCCCCCAAGGGTGACCGGGGTTTTTGGGGGGTTTTTTATGGTTAATTTTGGGAGGGGTTTTTTTGTTTTTTTTTCCTGTTTCCCCATCCCAAGGGGGGCCCCTGGGTTAGGGTTGGGGTTATGAGTTTCTCTGTTGCCCCTGATCCCATCTCCGGTTTCCCCCTTTGGTTTAGGTTTTGGGGGTTGTTGTTCTCTGTTGTCCTGATCCCATCCCAAGGTGCCCCGGGGTTTTAGGGTTGGGTTTGATGTTTTTCTCTGTTGTCCAAATCCCACCCCAAGGTGCCCCTTGGTTTAGGGTTGGGTTTATGATGTTTTTTTCTTTGCCCCTGATCCCATTTTCCAAGGTGACCGGGGTTTTGGGGTTTTGGGTTTTTATTTTTCTCGGGTGTCCGATCCCATCTCCAAGGGACCTGGGTTGGGTTGGGGGTTTAGGGATTTTTCTCTTTGTCCTGACCCATCCCCCAAAGGTGACCGGGGTTTGGGGGTTAAAATGATTTTTTCCCTTGTTTTTCCGGGTCCCATCCCCAAAGGGTGCCGGGGTTTTAGGTTAGGGTTAGGATGTTTTTCCGGGTTGCCCTGATCCCATCCCCAAAGGTGCCCCTGGGTTGGTTGGGTTTAATATGTTTCTCTTTTTGTCCTCCCCCCTCCCCAAAGGGCCTGGGTTGGGTTTGGGGTTATAAATGTTTCTCTGTTTCCTGACCCATCCCCAAAGGGTTTGCCCGGGGGGTTGGGGAAAATGATGTTTCTGTTGTCCTGATCCCATCCCCAAAGGTTACCGGGTTGGGGTTTTGGGGTTTTAATGAATTTTTCCTTTTTGTCCTAAACCCATCCCCAAAAGGTTAAACCGGGGTTAAGGGTTAGGGTTAAAAATTTTTCTCTGTTGTCCGACCCCATCTCCAAGGTACCTGGGTTTGGGTTTTAATGATGTTTTTCTCTTTTTCCTGACCCCCATCTCCAAGGGGGCCCTGGGTTGGGGTTTTTGGGGTTATGTTTTTCTCGTTTTCCTTTATCCCCATCTCCAAGTGACCGGGGTTGGGGGTTTTGGGGTTAATTTATGTTTTTTTCCTTTTTTGCCCTGATCCCTCCCCAAAGGTAAACCGGGTTAGGGTTAGGGTTTTATGTTTCTCGTTGCCCCCTGACCCATCTCCAAGGTAAACCGGGGTTAAAGGGGAGGGTAATGATGTTTTTTCCTTTTGTCCTGATCCCATCTCCAAGGGGGGGACGGGTTGGGGTTTTGGGGTTAATGTTTTTTCTTTTTGTCCTGACCCCCATCTTCCCCGGTGACCGGGGGTTTGGGTTTAAGGGATTTTCTCTGTTGCCCTAAATCCCTCCCCAAAGGGTTTTAAACCTGGTTGGGGTTGGGGTTTTAATGTTTTTTTGGGTTTGTCCTGATCCCTCCCCAAGGGGTGCCCGGGGGTTAGGTTGGGGTTATGATGTTTCTCTGTTGTCCTGATCCCATCTCCAAGGGGGACCTGGGGGGGGTTTAAGGGTTTTTTTTCTCTTTTGGGTCCTGTCCCTCCCCAAGGTGACCTGGGTTAGGGTTGGGTTTAATGATTTTTCTCTTTTTCCTGATCCCTCCCCAAAGGTAAACCGGGGTTTAGGGTTGGGGGGTTATGTGTTTCTCTGTTGTCCTAAACCCCATCCCCCAAAGGGGTGACCTGGGTTAGGGTTGGGGTTAGGATTTTTTCTCTGTTGTCCGGGGACCCTCTCCAAGGGCCCGGGGGTTTTAGGGTTGGAATTTTCTCTTTTCCTGATCCCATCCCCCAAAGGGTGACCGGGGTTAGGGTTGGGGTTTGATTTTCCCCTTCTGTTTTTCCCTGATCCCTCCCCAAAGGTGCCGGGGTTAGGGTTGGATTTTTTCTCTGTGTCCTGATCCCATCCCCAAGGTGACCGGGGTTGGGGTTAGGGTTTATAAATTTTTCCTTTTTGGGGTCCTGATCCCCCCCAAAGGTGACCGGGGTTTTGGGGTTGGGGGGTTATGTTTTTTTCCTCTGTTGCCAAATCCCATCCCCAAAGGTGACCTGGGTTGGGGGTTGGGGTTTTTATTAAATTTTTTCTCTGTTGCCCCTGACCCCATCTCCAGGGGGACCTGGGGGGGGGGTTGGGGGTTTTATGATGTTTTCTCTTTTTTGTCCTAATCCCCCATCTCCAGGTGACCGGGGTTTTAGGGTTAGGGTTATAATTTTTCCCCTTTTTTTCCGGGATCCCATCCCAAGGTGACCTGGGTTAGGGGGGGGTTTTTGGGAGGTTTCCCCTGTTTCCTGATCCCATCCCCAAAGGGGAAAACCTGGGTTGGGTTTTGGGGGTTATGATTTTTCCCTCTGTTGTCCTGACCCCCCATCTCCAAGGGCCCCCGGGTTTGGGGTTTTTATGATTTTTTTCTATTTGTCAGATCCCATCCCCCAAAGGTGACCGGGGTTAGGGTTAGGGTTTGGGAGTTTCTCTGTTTCCGGATCCCCCATCTCCAAGGGGGACCTGGTTAGGGTTGGGGTTTAAATAAATTTTCTCTCTTTTTTCCCTGATCCCATCCCCAAAGGTGACCTGGGTTGGGGTTTTAGGGTTATATTTTTCCCTATGTTGTCTTTACCCCCATCTCCAAGGGGGACCGGGGTTTGGGGTTTAGGTTTTGGATTTTTCTTCTTTTTTCCTGACCCCCTCCCCAAGGTGCCCTTTGGTTGGGGTTTTGGGTTATGATTTTTTTTCGGGTTGTGCCTGATCCCATTTTCCAAGGTACCGGGGTTTTGGGGTTTAGGGTTATGAGTTTCTCGGTTTTCCTAAACCCCATCCCCAAAGGGTGACCTGGGTTGGGGTTAGGTTAGGAGTTTTTCTCTGTTTTGTCCTGATCCCATCCCAAAGGGTGACCTGGGTTAGGGTTGGGGTTGGGATTTTTCTAGGTTTCCTATCCCATCCCAAGGTCCTTTTTTTTTGGGGAAATAAATGTTTTTTTTCTTTTGTCCTGAATCCCATTTTCCAAAGGTGACCGGGGTTTGGGGTTGGGTAATGTTTTTTTTTCCCCTCTGTTGTCCTGATCCCACCCCAAAGGGTAAACCGGGGGGTTAAAGGGGTTAAATAAATTTTCTCTTTTGCCCTTTTACCCCATCCCCAAAGGTGCCCTTTGGGTTGGGAAAATGAGTTTTTTCTTTTGTCCTGACCCCATTTTCCCCAAGGTGACCTGGGTTGGGGTTTAGGGGGGGGGATGTTTTCTCTGTTGTCCTAAAACCCCAAATCTCCCAAGGTAAAACCTGGTTGGGGGTGGGGTTATATTTTTCTATTTTGCCCCTGATCCCATCCCCAAAGGTGACCGGGGTTTTAGGGTAATGTTTTTTCTCTGTTGTCCTGTCCCACCCCCAAATTTAACCTGGGTTGGGGTTAGGGTTATATGTTTCTCTGTTTCCTGACCCCCATCCCCAAAGGGTGACCGGGGTTTTAGGGTTAGGGTAATGATGTTTCTTCTCTTTTGGGCCCCGGGAATCCCATCTCCAAGGGGGGCCCCGGGGGTTTGGGTTGGGGGTTATAAAATGTTTTCTCTTTTTTTGTCCTGATCCCTCCCCAAAGGTGCCGGGTTAGGGTTGGGGTTAAATGATTTTTTCCTCTGTTGTCCTAAATCCCATCCCCAAAGGTGCCCCTGGGTTGGGGTTTGGGGTTTATGATTTTTTTCTATGTTGCCCCTGACCCATCTCCAAGGTGACCTGGGTTAGGGTTAGGGTTTGTGTTTCTCTGGGTCCTGTTTCCCATCTCCAATGCCCGGGGGTTGGTTGGGGTTTTATGATGTTTCTCTTTGGGCCCTGACCCCCTCTCCAAGGTAAACCGGGTTGGGTTGGGGTTTTGATTTTCTCTTTTTGTCCTATCCCACCCCCAAAGGTACCGGGGTTGGGTTGGGAATGTTTTCCCCGTTGTAAAATTATCCCATCTCCAAGGTGACCTGGGTTAGGGTTAGGGTTATGATGTTTCTATGTTGTCCTGATCCTGTCTCCAAGGTTACATGGGTGCTTCATGAGATGAGACAGAAGAGGGAGGAGCAGAAGCTGAACCTGGGCCAGCTGACCCACATGATCAACTACCACGAACAGAACCTGCTACAGATGAGGAAGAGCCACGACAACGCCGTGCAGAGCCGCAATGACAGGTGAGTCTGGATGTCTGTTGGTCAGTCTGCACCGTCCACACGACCACCAAACAAGATTCTACATATCAGATAGGGAAGGACGGCTACTGCTAATGACTGACTACAGGACAATGATGCTGAACACTGTGGGCGACTGGGCGGCCACTGATGGTTTTTGACCGATTGTCATCCCTACTTTACAATTTGGTAGCTCTCTCAGGGGTGAGGTCTCTCTCTCTCCCCCCCTCTCTCTCTTTCCTTCCTTCCTTCTCTCTCTCTCTCTCTCTCTCTCTCCTCTCCTCCTCCCTCTCTCTCCTCTCTCCTCCTCTCTCTCTCCTTCTCTCTCTCTCCCTCTCTCCTCTCTCCCTCTCTCTCTCCCTCTCTCTCTCTCTCTCTCCTCCTCTCTCTCTCTATCTTCTCCTTTCTCTCTGTCCCCATCTATCTCTCCCCATCTCTTTCTCTCTCCCTCTCTCTCCCTCTCCTCTCTCCCCCACACTAACTCTCCCCCAATCCCTCTCTCTCGCCGCTCATACTATCCCCTCTACCCCCCACACCACCCCCCTTCTCTCCTCGGCTTTCTCTTGGCTCTCAATTCAATTTAAGAGGGCTTTATTGCATGGGAAACGTATGTTAACATTGCCAAATCAAGTGAAGTAGATAGTAAAACAAAAGTGAAATAAACAATAATATTAACAGTAAAACATTACACTCAGAAGTTCAAAAAATAATAAAGACATTTCAATGTCATATTATGTACACTGCTCAAAAAAATAAAGGGAACACTTACATTTTAGTCATTTAGCAGACGCTCTTATCCAGAGCGACTTTACAGTTAGTGAATACAATATATATATATATATTTTTTTTTTTTCAATACTGGTCCCCCGTGGGAAACGAACCCACAACCCTGGCGTTGCAAACGCCATGCTCTATCAACTGAGCTACATCCCTGCCGGCCATTCCCTCCCCTACCCTGGACAACGCTAGGCCAATTGTGCGCCGCCCATGAGTCTCCCGGTCGCGGCCGGCTGCGACAGAGCCTGGATTCAAACCAGGATCTCTAGTGGCACAGCTAGCACTGCGATGCAGTGCCTTAGACCACTGCGCCACTCAGGAGACATAGGGTTAAACAACGCAATGTAACTCCAAGTCAATCACACTTCTGTGAAATCAAACTATCCACTTAGGAAGCAACGCTGATTGACAATACAAATTATGGTGGAAAATAAGTATTTGGTCACCTACAAACAAGCAAGGTCTCCCTACGGCGGCCTTTCTCAATAGCAAAGCTATGCTCACTGAGTCTGTACATAGTCAAAGCTTTCCTTAAGTTTGGGTCAGTCACAGTGGTCAGGTATTCTGCCACTGTGTACTCTCTGTTTAGGGCCAAATAGCATTCTAGTTTGCTCTGTTTTTTTGTTAATTCTTTCCAATGTGTCAAGTAATTCTCTTTTTGTTTTCTCATGATTTGGTTGGGTCTAATTGTGTTGTTGTTGTTGTCCTGGGGCTCTGTGGGGTCTGTTTGTGTTTGTGAACAGAGCCCCGGGACCAGCTTGCTTAGGGGACTCTTCTCCAAGTGAATCTCTCTGTAGGTGATGGCTTTGTTATGGAAGGTTTGGGAATCGCTTCCTTTTAAGTGGTTATAGAATTTAACGGCTCTTTTCTGCATTTTGATATCTCTCTCTGGCAGAGGTGTGCAGTTGCTGGAGCGTGAGGAGGAGATGTGTATCTTCTATGAGAAGGTGAATGTTCAGGAGGGCCTGATCAGAAACGGTGACATGGAGACGCAGGCGCTGGAGGAGGAGACGCGCTGCCTGCAGATGATCACCAACGAAGAACGAAGACAGACAGCCCTCAGCAGGAAACTGGTGCCCTGCCAGAGGAGTCTGGAGGGAGAGAGCACCATGCTACAGATACAGGTACACTAGAAGCCTGGGTCATATTCACTAAGGCACACCGTTCCAAAACGCTTTGCAACAGAAAACGAGAAAACAAACCTTTCTTATTGGACAAATTCAGCTAGTCTCTCCCTGTTCCAGTCAGTTTTCTTCCGTTTAGTGCCTTATAAATACGACCCTGTTGTCAGATAGCACTGGACTGTCAGTCAAAGGACTGGTAGGAATGACAGTATCTGTCGGGAGGAAATGGATAGGAACCTCTGAAAACTGGTTGCTAACTCTGGCCTGACTTGATTTAGAGCAGGTTGTTTCACTACTTTTAACCAGAGCCCTATATGGACAATATTATGTTTATTTCAGAGTTTCCCATGCACTGACTGCTCGTTGATAAGCACAGTATAACCTCATTTGGGACTACACAGACTCTTTAAAGCTGTCAGGACTCATAGAAAACCCCTACTAAGGAGACATGTATCTAAAGTGCCTTGCTGTGCCTCCTAGTCTTTAGCTAAACATAACACACAGAAAGGCATGTAAAATGGAGGTCATGTGTAAATGATCTAGAGTCTGAGAT